CACACACTGGCACGTCATCCTTGAAATAAGAATGCCCTCTTTAGTGTGTCCCAGGGCAGCTTCTATAGGGCTCTCCTGACTAATGGCCACGCTCCAGCTCTCAGGACTTTTCAGCTGCAAGCCGACCAGAAACCACTCCCCTGCCATCAGGAACTCACGAGGACCTTGTGCTCAGAGCAGCTGCAAGCATAGGCAAACAAGTTGTTTACAAGCAAGGGGGTCACAGAAAATTGGGGGTGTGAGGGCTACAGTCCCAAACACCAAGACAAAAATGAAAATGCTAAAAGGAAAACACATCAAGTGAAGAGGACCACTGTCCTATGTCCATGAATGTGAACCACTATTAAACGAAGAACACAGGAAGATGAACCGTGTTCCTATGGGCTGGCAAGATGGCTACAGGTGCTTGCTTCCAAGCCTGACGACCTGAGTTCAATCCCTGGGTCCCACATGATCAAAGTAAGAGAATCCGCTCCAGAAACTTGCCTGCCAGCTGACCACCCTTTCCTTCCTCCTTCCTCCCTCAGTAAACAAATATAACCTACAAGAGACCATGGCTGCAGTTAGTGTACATCTACAGGAAAGGCAGAGGCCATTGTTCACAAGACGCAAAGCTGAGAAGCAGTGTTGTCTACACAGGGACTCCCAAAAAGTCAACTAAAAAGAGAAAAAAATAAATGAATTCTAGAAGATGGGCAAAAAGGATATTAGAAAGCAACTCACAGATAGTGCACTCCGAATGCTGATACGCCTGTGAAATCCTCACTGCCCTCAGGGACCAGAGCAACTCACAGAGAAAGGCCTCCGGCTCTCTGTAGCTGTCAGCCCCTCACACTCCCCCCAGAGGTCTGATGCTGCCAAAGGTGAGACGTGCGAGAACAGCTGCTGCTGTCCCCGTTCTGGAAACATCTGGAAGGTTCTGAGATGCACACCTGTGAGGGGAAGTGCTGGTTGTGCGGGTTGTGTTTGTCAGCTTGGGAGCTGCTGGAGATACAAATGCAGCCTTGTCCTGGGGGTTTTAAGGGAGCATGTGCTCAGGTGATATTGGGGTGATCGTGGTGTGGTCATGGTAAGGAGTTGAAGACAACCTGAGTGGCCATCATTGCGCGGAGAAACCAGGGTGGACTTCCATCACCGAATACAGGGCAGTAGTTAGAATATTTGTATAGATTGAGGCATCATGGGTAGGACAAAAGTTCTAGCTTAAGTGTTATGTTTTATACAAAACAATGTGTAATATAGTATTCTTGTAATATATACATCATATAGTACATAAATTATGTGTATATGAGGCAGCAGAAATTTTGCAAAAACAAAAAACAGAATTTATATTAGCACATTAGCTACATTGCTACAGAGGGGAGGCGGAGTATGCAGGAAGAAAGGTTAATTAAAAAAAAAAACAATGCTTTATTGCTAGGAGACTTAGGTACCAGACTTTTAAACTTATTAAAAAGCTGTGGTGGTCAGGACAGTGGTGTGGGTGTCTCCATGCATAGTAGATGAATGAGCACCCAGAGTCAACCCACACACGCAGTCAATTGGTTTTCTAACAAAGGCCCGGACAATAGAGTGAAAAAAGGAGGAATTGGGCCTATGAGACGGCTCAGCAGGTAAAGGTACTTGCTGCTAAATCCTGATAACCTGAGTTCAATACTTGGCATCCACATGATAGAAAAAGAGGACTGACTGACTCCTGAACATTGTTTTCTGGCTTCCTTACATCCATGTGGCACACATGTGCCCACATGCACACATGCATGCAAGTAAGCATGCAAATAAATGTAGCTTTTTGTTTGTTTGCTTGCTTTTTTAAAGTTTCCTATTACACCAACCACAGGCTTCTTACTGCACCACTGGCGAGGTCCCTCCCGCCCCTACGTCGAGTGAAAACGGTGCAGTAGGGAGAACAAGACTGTCTGCAGTTCATCAAGGCCTGTGTCCTCCCGTCTTTTATAGGCTGTGATTGTTGCGTGGACTGGCCATGACTGCAGCAAAGCCTCCAGCAGCAGGTCTGGCTCCAGCTGCAGCCCTGACTGCAGTGGCCTTTGCACCTGGAGCGGCGTTCTCTGCGAGTGACCAGATAGCAGTCAAAGCAGCTGGTCTGCCCTGCTAACAGTTGAGCCAATTGCTAAGAAAAGGGCTGCTTGGTTGACAGACACCCCCCCACACACACAGCTCAAGGCAGGCAGGCACAAAGGAAGGAAGGGCCTGCGGCTGTCAATCAAGAGGAGAGGCTAGTTCCTAACAGCTTAGTTTGTTTAAAGACAGTAAAGCAAAAAAACACCATCAGAGGAAAATCTACTGAAGGGAGCAGGCAATAAAGACAAATCACAGAATTAACATTCTCAACAGCACTTAACGGTGCTTAACCACGAGCCTAATATTCTTAGGAAGTATCGAGCGTTAAGGGACTAGAGAAATGGCTCAGCAGTAAAGAGCACTTACTGCTCTTCCAGAGAAGCTGGGCTCAATTCCCAGAACTCACATTGGGGTAGCTCACAACTGCTTATAACTCCAGCTGTATGGGAGTTGGCCCTTGTGGGTACCTGCACACACACACACACACACACACACACACACGCACGCACGCACACACTCACACACATCCCTCACCCCCAAAAGGACAGAGAGTATATTCTGGAGCCGGATGAGAGTGATGGAAACCCAGGAACACTCACTTCAACTACTCCAAATTCCATGTTCCAATATGGTTAACAGTTTCATATTCTTCTAATAACAGAACAAAGAAAACTTTAAAAATGAAGACGTTTTTCAAACATGTTGGGAGAAACATTAAGTAGATGAGTTCCAGAACAGTGGGCAATGTCAGCCAGAGACCTCACATGCCATCTGGTGGCCATTTCCAGCCATTGGGTTGATGAAAACTAGGGCTCTGTCTGTGTACTTCAAAGGATTTATCTACCAGCCACCAACATGCTAGGTCACATACAGAGGGAAATAGGTGGTTATTTTTTTAAAAATATTTATTTATTTATTATGTATACAATATTCTGTCTATGTGTATGCCTTCTGGGCACCAGACCTCATTACAGATGGTTGTGAGCCACCATGTGGTTGCTGGGAATTGAACTCAGGCCCTTTGGAAGAGCAGGCAATGCTCTTAACCTCTGAGTCATCTCTCCAGCCCAAAATAGATGGTTATTAAGGGAGCTGAAGATGACCCAAGATGATAAAGTTCTGGACCTGCCGCTTTCTCAACTCTTCAGAACCACCAAGGCTCCCAACAGTTCTCAACCTGTGGGTCACGAACCCCAGAGGGGTCACATATCAGATATTTACATTGTAATGCATAACAGTAGTAAAATTACAGTTACGAAGTAGCAATAAAAATGATTTTATGGTTGGGAGTTGTGGTGGTTTGAAAGAAAATGGCTCCCAAAGGGAGTTGCACTATTAGGAGGTGTGGCTTTACCGGAGTAGGTGTGACCTTGTTGGAGGAAGTGTGTCACTGCGTGGGTGGGCTTTGAGGTCTCCTGTGCTCAAGCTACTCCTAGTGAAACAGACCACTTCCTGCCGCCTACAAGTCAAGATGAAGGACACTTAGCTCCTTCTCCAGCCGCATGTCTGCCTGCATGCCTCTGTGTTCCATCACAATAATGGACTAAACCTCTGAAAATGTAAGCCAGCCCAGTTAAATATTTTTTTTCCTTTATAAGAGTTGCCGTGGTCACGGTGTCTCTTCACAGCAATAGGAACTCTAAGATAGGGTCATCACAGCACAAGGAACTGTATTAAAAGGTCGCAGCATTAGGAAGGTTGAGAACTGCCACATCAGTTAATCAGCCTTGTAGAAGGCTCAGTGGGAGGGGTAGTTCTTTTCAGAAACTTTCATTCACAGCCAATCAATGAGTTTAGAGGGTTGTCAGTCTGACTTAGGAAGTTCTAGACGATGTTAAAGAAAAAGTGAAGCCCCCTCCCAACAACTCACCTATACCCACCACCCCTTCCACAGCTAAGGAAACAATAATTTTACTTAGCCATGAAAGCAAAGAACTATTGGCACATGGCACAGGGCTGGGCCTCAAAGCAAAGATGCTGAGTAAATACTATATGGTTGTATGTATGAGACTGTGCAGAAAATACAGGCTACAGCAATTGTAAACGGTTGGCTTAGGGGGAGCCCTGGAAGGAGAGAGGGTATCAGGTGGCACAAGGAAACTTCAGAGCTGACTAGGTCAACGGTTTCCTAAGAGAAGATACATCTCACCCTGTTACTGGAGTCGTTAGGGTCAGAGCGTGGACCCTAGCAGCCCTAACAAGCCAGGCTCGGCCACCTGCTCTCTGTATGCCAACTAAAGAGCAAAGTCAGCACAGAGAGACTGAAGAGATGGCACAGGGGTTCAGAGCACTTACAGTTCTTGCAGAAAATCTGAATTTGCCTCCCAGCACCCCATCAGGCAGCTCACAACAGCATGTAACTCCAGTTCCAGGGGATCCCTTCTCCGCTTGCCCTCCATGACACCAACACGCATGCTGTGCACGTAAACTCATGTGTGCACACATACATACACACATACAAACAAATAAGTAAATCTTTCTGAAAATTAAAACAGTGGAATGCAGAACAAGGTGATTATATTCAATGTGGACACGCTAGCAAAAGAAACAAAGTCCAGGATCCTCCAAGTCCGCCTTCTGCTGTAAGGCTCAGATTTAAACAGAGAGCAAGGGGAATGCCTAGCTAAGCAGTTGCAGCCAAGGTGTGGTCACCTTCAAGGTGGTCTGGCAAGTTGTCAGAATGGTGTGACATCTTTCCAGTCGTCAACTTTCTCTTCTGGCTGGCACCAGATCCCAGCCTTTTCCTTCTCCTAACATAAGACTCCTAGAGAAATTTCGATTTCTTAGGGTTCATTGTTTCAACGGCCTGACAACCCAGGGGAGGGACACAGTGTCTCCCTTTAGATATCTTCTCTCCTGTCAGGGCAGTTACAATGGTGATCTTTATGTATGTGTAATTCAGTGTGTGTCACATTTACCTGGGTGGCTTTTGTCGTTGTCGTTACCAATAAGTCAGGCAGTCTGGCACTCAGAGTCCTTCAGCAGACAGGGAGCAGAGCAAGGAACCAAAGCCCTTGCCCTGGAGCCCATCACACAGCCATGCTCATAGAGCACAGGGCATAGAAAACGCTGGAAGGGCGTGGAGCAAGGAGGACCCATGTTAATTATTACCCGGCGGCGGCCGGATCTCTGCTCCGCCCCCGCGGGTGGCCTGCTGCCTGCCGGCCGCCTCTCCCTCTCTGCCGCCACCTGCTACCAGCGCTGGACATGGTAAGCGCAGGACGTATGGCGAACCCTGAGCCGGGATCGGGAAGTCGGGCTAGGGCTCCGATGTTGAGGGTGCGGGCAGCGCCATCGCGCTGGGCTAGGGTCACCTTGCCGCCCTCGGGGGCGCCGGGGTGCAGATATGGGAGGTGGCGGTGGTGGCGGGCCTGGAGAGACCAGAGCCTGGCCTGTCTGGACTCCAGGCCGCCTGCTGACGGGCTCGGCGGGGTGTGTCAGTAAGGCGGGTCTCCATGCCTTGGTCCTGGCCCTACAGCTAGCTGGTCCCTTGGGGTGCCGAATCTGGTGGGGCTCAGTTCTCTCGGCACCCTAGTGCTGTCTCCGGTCTTGCGCCCCGCCCAAGCACCTAACTGGGATTCTGTGTCCCACCTTCGTGGGTCAGGATCTTAGGTCCTTTGGAAAGGGGTGCCCCTGGAACTGCTAGACCCTGAAACTCTTATCAAGCAGAGCAATTCTCTGCACCTTTGGAGCAGTCGGGGGATTGGAAGTTGGAAGCCGTTTCGGCAGCTGTGGCCTGGGAAGGGTCACTGGGGACCAAAGACACAGGCTTGGATAATCAGTAATCCCTGGACCCACACTGCCAAAGGCCGACAGAGCTTTGCTAAGCAAACAAGGCCCTTACCCTTCTGACTCCAGAGTGCAGAGCGTTGTCATTCTAAGACTAGGGTGTTCTGGAAAACTTTAAAGAGAAGGTACGATCTCTCCCCCACCCCCACCTTACCGTACCTTCCAGCATCCCTCCAGCTCGCCTGTACCCACCACTCCTTTGGGAGTCAAGAAAAACAAAACAAAACATAAAACCAAAATAATAAACAACAAGAAAAAACCAAAACAGTGGGTTCTGGTACCCGGTTGATATCTGGTTGCCTGGTTACAAGAGCCCAGCTTATCAGCGGGCTCTGGAAAGACTTCCCTATTATTAACCACAGTGCAGATTTCTGTTTCCTTCTCTTCGGCCATCCCTTGTCAGTGAAGCGGAGTGATGAGGCAGAGCACAAACACCAGTGCTGGTCTGTAGGCCCCAGGGATGGTCTGTAGTTCCCAGTGCTGGTCTATAGACCCCAGGGCTGGTCCATAAGCCCCAGGGATGGTCTGTAGACCCCAGTGATGACCTGTAGTTCCCAGTGCTGGTCTATAGACCCCAGGGCTGGTCCATAAGCCCCAGGGATGGTCTGTAGGCCCCAGGGATGGTCTGTAGTTCCCAGTGCTGGTCTATAGACCCCAGGGCTGGTCCATAAGCCCCAGGGATGGTTTGTAGACCCCAGTGATGGTCTGTAGTTCCCAAGGCTGGTCTGTAGACCCCAGTGCTGGTCTGTAGGCCCCAATGCTGGTCTGTAGGCCCCAGGGCTGGTCTGTAGACCCCAATGCTGGTTTGTAGTTCCCAGGGCTGGTCTGTAGACCCCAGGGATGGTCTGTAGTTCCCAGGGATGGTCTATAGACCCCAGGGATGGTCTGTAGTTCCCAGGGCTGGTCTGTAGGCCCCAGTGCTGGCCTGGAACCTGTCACACAGTCTTCTTATCCAAGGAAGCACTTTTAAAATGTAGTTTGTACTTGTAATCCCAGAATCGGGAAGGCAGAGATAGATGGATCTCTGAGGCTCAATGGCAGTGAGTTTAGCCTACTTGGTGAGAGACCTTGTCTAAATAAAGCAAACAAAGTAGGGAGGAGGCTGGAGAATTGCTCCATGGTTAAGAACACTGGCTTCTATTCCAAAAGACCTGGATTTGGTTCCCAGCACTCATGTGACAGCTCACAATTGCAAGGGATTCTGGTTCTGAGGTATTTGACACCCTCTTCTGGCCTCTTCAGGCACTAGAATGTGATGACAAAACACCTTTACACATAAAATAAAAATTTTAATGCATTTTTTTTTATTAAACTACAGGCAAATGATACCTGCAAATGGCATCTGAGATTGCTTTCTGGCCTCCTCACACATACATGCACATACATGTACCCACCCACATACATATACCAAAACCAACCAACTGAAAAAAAACCAAAACAAAACATACAGGACCCAACAGTCTATCAATAAGCCAGCCCAGACCCCACCTCCTAGTGGGGCGCTTCCCTGCAAACCCAAAGACCTGTGGCTTGGGGCAGGGCACTTGTATCCACAGCAGCCAGCACCGGCTAAATTCTTCCCCAAAAGTCGGGCATGTTCTTGACCTATAAAAGGAACGCCCAGGGGCCTCTGTTCTCCCTCTCCTAGGCTGGCAAGGCACACAGGCTGAGTGCTGAGGAGCGGGACCAGCTGCTGCCAAATCTGAGGGCGGTAGGGTGGAATGAACTGGAAGGCCGAGATGCCATCTTCAAACAGTTTCATTTTAAAGACTTCAACAGGGTATGTGGTGTGTGTGTGTGTGGGGGGGGTGACCGGGCCACATTCTGTGCTCAGGCCATGTCCTACTAGCCACGGGGGGGAAAAACATTTCCAAGTGGCTACAAAGAGAAGGGCCTTGGGCCCCGCCTTCCCTGAACTCGAAGTCCTTGGAGGAGGCGGTCCTCCAAAGGGTAGCAAGTGCGTGTCCTTCTAAAGACACGTTAAAAGCAAAATACTGGCAAACACCAACCGCCCGTACTGTGCGCACCACACTGGGGATGTAACACTAACACGGGCCTCAGAGTAAGGGACAGGATGTCACAGGGGAGGTTAGAGCTCCAGGGTCCCTGGAAGAAGCTAAGCTATCCTCCTGTATCTAGGCCATGACGAGGTCTGGGTCTCCCTTCATTTCATCAGGCTTTTGGCTTCATGACAAGAGTGGCCTTGCAGGCTGAGAAGCTGGACCACCATCCCGAGTGGTTTAACGTGTACAACAAGGTGAGCCTGCTCCCATCTTAGAGCCTCGTCTTCCTGAAGATTTGCTCTTGGACCTGACCCTGGGCCCTTCCTCACCAGTTAGCTGATGCCCCTTCTGTCATCTGTCTGTCTGTCCCCTTCCTAGAGCCAACAGAGACTCCCCACAAGACAGCCCGTCTCAGGGCTGATTATAAGTGCAAAGTAAAATACCCTGAACAATTGCAGTCAGATATTAGGGAGGGCACTGTTAATAGCACCAGCGGCTTTATTCCGGATGAAAGAACGAGAGGGAACAGTAAGACGGAACTCGGTTGTCTCTCTCAGCAGCTTAGACTGTCTTATGGACGTGCTGAGAGCGCTGCTGGACTGTCTATAAAAACATGAAGGATGTGTTTGGATGCCCACCTTCAGTTCTGATTTTAACTTTTGTCTTCAAAAAAAAAAAAAAAGATTTTTTTTTAAACATATGTGTAGTGTATGGGCACATATATTCTGTGCATGTGGAAGCAAGATGGCTACTTGTGGGAGTCTGTTCTCTCCTTCTACTCTGTGGATCCTGGAAGTTGAACTCGGGTTGTTAGGCCTGCTGGCGAATGTCTTTTCCCACTGAGACATCTTGCTGGCCCCTGGCTTCCATTCTGACTGTGAATTTCTTTTTATCCTATTACTGAAATCACCATTATTTTGGGAAACTATCGGAAGGAAAATGGTGTGTCAGCAGGTGTGCCCCTTTCTTAGAGCGGTCAGGAAAACAGTGACCACCTGCTGTCTTTGGGGGTGACTAGTGGCCAGTTCCTGCGGTCCCTGGTTGAGCTGAGCGCACAGCTGGTGGCTCTGTTGCTCTTCTCGGGAGGGGGCTTGCCTGTCACTGAACTTCTGGTTTTCTCTCATTCAGGTCCATATCACCTTGAGCACCCACGAGTGCGCCGGTCTTTCAGAACGGGACATAAACCTGGCTAGCTTCATCGAACAAGTCGCTGTGTCTATGACATAAACCCTTTTTTATTTCCTGGTGGGGGTGGGGGTGCTGACTGAACAGGAACCCAGAGAGGAACCCAAGGAGGCTGGCCGTTGGTCCCTGCTGCTTGCAGTGAGCACCACCTCCATTGAGAGACGGGTCCCTGTGTAGAAGATGTAGGTGTCAATGTCAGCGGTAAGAACTGCAACCTTCGCCTGTGTCACGCTCCTCACTGGGGCTCTGCCGTGCTACACTACTTTGGATAAGGTTTTCCTTCCTCCATAGGCTCTCCAGCAGCAGCAGTGTTCTTTCCAGGTTGCATTTTGCTCCTTTTCTACCCTTTCTAGTTCACTGTCCAAGTAGCTGGGTTAAAGCATGACATAAAGTTCAATCTTAGACCCCAGAACTGAAACAAGCCCCACTGTATCACAGAAACATGTTTTGATGCCTCCAATAAAACCATGCTATCAATTGGTTCAGCTTCTGGAACCTTCTTTTCCACAGGCCATGACAAACTGAAATCAAGTATGGATTTTTTTTTTTTAAGATTTATTTTAGTTTACGGTATTCTGTCTGCGTGTATGTCTGCAGTCCAGAAGAGGGCACCAGATTTCATTACAGATGCTTGTAAGCCACCATGTGGTTTACTGGGACTTGAACTCAGGACCTCTGGAAGAAAATCAGTGCTCTTAACCTCTGAGCCATCTCTCCAGCACAGGGTTTTGGTTTGTATTTTTGAGACAGGGTTTCTCTGTGTGGCCCCGACTGTCCTGGAACTCACTCTGTAGACCAGGCTGGCCTCAAACTTGGAGATCCACCTGCCTCTGTCTCCCTAGTGCTGGGATTAAAGGCGTACACCACCACCACCCATACATAATCATGACATAATCATGCTTAATTTTGAGGGGTCTATTCTGGTTTTTGTGACTCTGGGGATCTAACCCAGGGCTTTGCACATGTTCGGCCAACAGGAACGATCCCATCAAGGTCGCAAGCTTGTCCCCAGCTAAAATGCAACTGAATAGAAACTCTTATTTTGTTGGGCAGCCAGGTAGAGTCAATGTACTGAGGGAAAGGAG